GAATGGCTTCCCATCCTTTGGATCTTTTTCTGGGGTCCAAAGAATGGGAGGTCATTGTTACTATTTTTGTCACAGTGCTCGTTTTAGTAATATTGTAGTAAATATTTTATCGTCTGGCCGAATTTGCATGCCGGCCCATCATCATCAGATCATAATAGGAATCGCGATTTTTTTATTAATATTACGTTGAAATAAGAATCGCGTTTTTTTCGTGTAAATTTTTATAATTTTTTATACAGTGATATTAAAAAAATTTATATTATTTTTCGATTAAATTTTTTTTACTTTTTTCAAATTGAATTATAATAGTTTTTGTTATAATTTGTTATAAAGTGTAGTGTTGCGTCGATAAAATAATAACGATGATATAAAAATAGGAATCGCGCGGGGGAGAGTTTAAAAAAGTTGAATCATAGCATACTAGATGGCGTAAGGAACACTGATCGAGGTCGGTATGTTAAAATATATACGATAGAAAGTTCCGTAAGATGTCACTACTCATCTGTTCTTGATCAGTGTAACAGGTTATGTATTTCAAATTTTTATATTATTTAAATATTCTAATGTTTATTTCAATTTATTTCATATTTTATTAATTTGTCATTATTACCATTTATTAATTTGTAGTTCGATACATCCAATCCCTGTATTACATATTGTTGGTAAAGTAATCCTTCCACAAGCATAATCACAATAGTTAAAATATTTTTATTCTTCTTAATAACAAAAGAATAATTTTTTTATTGCAGATTTCTATTGTAACAATATTGATATCGAGATGGTGGAAAATTAACTCCAATGGACTGTGCACCAAAAATTGTACATCGTAAGTATCACAAGAAAGAAAGAATATTTATGAAAAAATGTATTTCCCATTCAAAAAAAAATTTGACAATTTAAAAAAATGATTTCAGGATACAAGTTTTCATGAATTATTGGTTTAATATCTTGTAACCACGATCAATGACTGGAATACTATTCGTGACTATGCATTCTCCGAAGGCTGTCTATCCGAATACAAACGACCAAGGTCATGGTCAGTATAACGAACGAGGTACGAGGAATGCGGAATATAAATAGGATCGAGATACCGCAATCTAAGCGGTACGATCGATCGATAAATTTAAAATAAAATTTAATTTTTTCAGAATCTACGATATTTCTTCTTACAAATCTGCAGCCTCGTTAAAAAGTATCGTAACACGCACGAATCTACTACCAATCGCCCTACTCTCCGACCAAAATAATCGATAAGAGGTTCTAGAAACTGGTTGATGCATCGACCTTTTTTGCCGAAAGAGAAGAAAAAAACCTTATCGCTTACACGATACGCAAAAAGACCACTGTAAGAATATCTCTTATACTATATATATATATATATATATACCACGTGAGTACAAAATACTTATGTATCATAATAACAAAGAAAAATCAAAACTTCCAGTTTTATAATACGATATGTACAATTAATACAAATAATAAATTTGTACGATTCCTACGATATTCCAAGGTAAACGAAAACAACGATACCCAACTATTTTCAATTCTAACTATTTTTCCAATTTCTTTTGCAGTTTCATTTTTCAACGTGGGTTTGAAAAATCATCGTATCATCCACACGGTTCCCTCCAGAGGGCAGAAGTTACGCGGCCTAATATTATATTTCGGTAGAGACCCTACCGGAGAGCGGTGGAAATAACTGTCACAGAAGACAATTTATGTTAATGACTGTTCCTGGGTTCGAGAAGAGGCGCGAGGCCGGTCCAGTCTGCAGGCCTCCGTGGAGCGGATCGGACATCGCCGCTGCCGTCGCTCTCTCGCACGTCGGATTTTTCCCCCCCCTCCAACGTCGAGGCAACCCCTCTTCGATTCCCCTCTTCGTTTCAACCCCGCAATGGTGACGCCCAACGTCGATCCGGTTGTCCGCCACGCAAACTCGCGGGATCCACGACCCATGGCGCTTGTGCGTGACCCGTTTTATCGTCGGAAAATGCGCCGTGCCTACTTCGTGTCGAGATTCAGAATGTCGTTCGTGATATTAGTGACCAAGAATAATAGTCGAAGTGACTTGTACTTGAAATAGACTCTTGTTGAATTCTTCCTTCGTTCTTCTTTCGAATTGTAAGTGTGTAAAAAAGAATAAGGGGGGGAGGAGGAGAAAAGGGGACGATGTGACACGATGTTTGAGGGGGGGAGGGTGTCCTTCCTATACACCGATCCTGAGAACGTTAAAATGGATCCCTTCGGATGGACGAGGAAGTGGATGAGTTTTTGATCGAGGGTAAATTGATTTTAGAAATTTCTCTTTTACCTTTTTTTCGGTGGTGAAACGACAGTGTGAATTTTTATCATGTGTATCATTCTCACGTACGATTGATTAGTGTTTAGACGGAATACGGTTGTATTAATGATGATTAGAGAAATGTGAGGATTAATATCGAAAAGAGTAACGTCGATGGTTAATGCATGTGTTTTCGACCCCTGAGAGCGCAGACTCGCGACGAATCCATAGCTATGTATTTTTATTGCAAAGTCAAGCCAAGTTTTCAAGCTTTCGATACTAGATTGTCTTCACTTCTCTCCTCCGTAATCAAATTATCGAATTTATCGCGCCTTTCGAATTTCTTATCTCAATAATAAGATTAATCAAAATTATATTTCCATTTCGATCCATTTCAACTATTCGTCAATCAACACGTACACGATTTCGTACATAATACGAATTTAACGAAATTTAACAAATTTTCTTTTCAGAGGCTGGTTTTTAACGTTTCAGAAGGCAAAGTCGTACAATGCAATTCGAATCGTGGCGAAAAAGAAAGAGAGAAA